GTGTGTGTGTGTGTGTGTGTGTGTGTGTGTGTGTATACATATATAAAATGACCAGTACGACCAGAAAACATCCAGTACTTTTTCTGTTATGTTTACAGCATTTATTTTAAACCTAAAACACAACAAACTTCAATGCATAATTCAAAATATGGTTAAATCAATACATAAAATATTACCTAAATATTACAGTACACTGGGCCTTATTTTTATGGACTGTTCTTAGATTTCAGGCTAATTAAATAAATTAGTGAAAATGCATTTTAAGATAATGTATTTTCTAAATTAAGTCACCGGGGCCAAAAGTGCATTTAGTTGACACATACTGTACAATACAATTAAATGCACAATATACATTACTCATGGACCAGAGGTTTTGAAGCATGGCCGGTGTAACAGTAGATGTTTATAGCTTTCCAGCCGTTCTCTCTCTGGCCTTGTTTACTTGCATTGAAAATGCAGTTCATGCAATTAAATCTGCTTCGCAGGTTTATGTAAAATATTCCAAACTTCTCCATATGCACAGCTGAATACTCTGAATAATCAACATTGCAGAATTAAAATGCAGGCGTCTGATGAAGCTGCAGGGGGATGATGTCTCGGTTTCTCGCGCTGTGAGACGAGTGGAGGAAGTTTCTGGAGTTTATTTGGCAGAAATCTCTACATGCCACACTCTAAAACTATTGTTTTGGCTCCACAACAACAACTAAAGTAACGTAACCGTTTGCATCAATCTTTTGGAGTTATGACCACTTCTAACGAAATCATGTCAACTTAATAATTTGTAGCATCAATAAATGTCTAAGTTGATTACTCAATAAAATGAATTTGTTTCATCTAATTTCAACATTATTGAGTTGTGGGCCTGGAATCAATGAATCAAATTCATTAATAACCAGCATAGCACAGCAATAAATGCAACCTATTTAGCATGTAAATGTAATAAACAAGTAAGATAGTACTTGTCATTGGCATTAGAGCGGTTATTGCTCATATGATCAATCATTATCATTAAGCTTATCATTAAGCAACCAAAAAAAATAAAATAAATGTGATCATAACAGAAACTCTTTTAAATTTTAAAAATAAGAGTAATAAATACTATGTATTTTCTTGACTAAAAAAAGTAGTAATAATAATTAATAAATATAAAACTCCTAAAATAACTATATTTCGATATTTATTTTCCTTATGCAGTCGTATGCTAAGCATGCTGGGAACTAGAAATCCACAGCCAACTTCCAAAATTATCAAGATAATTACATTAAGTTACTTCAATTAACATTGACATTTCAATTTAAATTACATGCAATATTAAGTTGTCAACATTTACATTTATGCATTTAGCAGATGCTTTTATTCAACAGGGTTGTTTTATCAT